TACGCTTTGGCGTGATGTAAGTGTCAGCACCCCTATTTATAAAGGTGAGGAAAAGGCTGTTTGAACCAGGTTTGAGCAGCTGTGTCTCATCAATTCTGAACGGCACCCTGGTGTGTGCACCTGTACGTGCTGTTCGCTCCCAGGCTTCCTGGGAGCTCCAGGCTATGCAGAGCCCCCATGGGGGGCTTGCGGACCTGTCTCCATGGCTGTTCACCCGCTGCCTCTGGAATCACTGGTGTATCCTTTGCTGGGTAGAAGGCTTTGCTTGATGGTCTCTCAAGTCGGTTTTACTTTTTGATGAATTCATTTGGATCCCAGCCCAGAAACTGACTTTTTATTACCTTTGATCCCACCCATGGTCGTCAGCAGTTTTTAAACCAATCAAGTCCACGTTCCCTTGTTCCCCATTTCTGCACGTTGTCATAGGAGAACAATCTTTCACCTGCATCTCTATTTTCCAGCTATAGTGCAGATTGGAGAATTATCTGCATTCTCTGCCTTACACTATCAGAACTATGTAGACATATTTAATTTGGATTTAAAATATTTAATAAACAAAATAAACATTTTAGTTACATATTTTTTTTTATCATTGGTTGTCATTTATTTACATGAATTGTAATGCATGTTCTATGCAATGGCTGCCTCACTGCTAACAGCGCCCAAATGTCTACTCAGTAAATATTTATGGAGTGCCTTCTGTATGCCAGACACTATGAGTATCTTCCTCACATATACCAAAGCACCTGCCACTAGGGATCAAAGGATACCAAAAGGATTGGTATCTCAGATACCAAATCAAAGATACCAAAAGGATTGGTATCTCAGATAATGAGAACATTCCAAAAAGGGGACTATAATGGCAGCCTTACTCCTTACTGGCTTAGAATGGTGCTGGCCCATAGTAGGTGCACAATAAGTGTTAGTTTTCCTTTTCCCACAGTGTATGAGGATTCCAATTTCTCTACAGCATCAACATTTGTCTTTATCTGACTTTTTTATTGTAACCATTGTAGTGAGTGTGAAGTTATACTTCTTTGTGGGTTTGATTTGCATTTCCCAATGGCTAATGATGGGGAACATGTTTCATGTGTTTATTAGCCATTTGTATATCTTCTTTGGAGAAAAGTCTATTCAAGTCCTTTAACCACCTTTAAATTAGGTTGTCTTTTCATTATTGAGTTACTCTGGAAACAAGTCCCTGATGAGATATATGATTGGCAAGTATTTTCTCCCATTCCGTGGGTTATCTTTTCACTTTTTTTTTAATGGTATCTTTCAAAGCACAGAAGTTTGAAATTTTAATAAAGTCCAATTTGTGTATTGTTTTCTTTTCTTGCTCACGCTTTTGGTGTCAAATGTAATAATGCCTTGCCAAACTCAAGGTCATGAAGATTTATTCTTATGTTTCCTTCTAAGAGTTTTATAAATTCTTGCTCTTACATTTAAGTCTTTGGCCAATATTGAGTTGATTTTTTTGTATATGGTATGAAGTAAGGGTCCAATTTCATTGTTTTGCATGTGGATATCCAGTTGTTTGAACACCAGTTTGTTGAAAAGATTTTTCTTTCCCCACTAAATGATTTTGGCACCCTTGTGGGGAATCAGTTGAACATACATTGGTTTATTTTTGAACTCTCAATTCAATTCCATTGATCTACATGCCTACTCATATTCCAGCATCACACTGTCTTTACTATCATTGCTCTGTAGTCAATTTTGAAATTGGAAAGTGTGAATGCTCCATTTTGTCCTTTTCTCATGATTGTTTTGGTTAATCTTGGTCCCTCGAAAATTGTATGAATTTTAGAAACAATTTGTCAGTTTCTACGAAGAAGTCAGCTGAGATATTGACAAGAATTACATTGACTCTATAGGTCAATTTAAGGATTATTGCCATCTTAACAATATTCAGTCTTCTGATTCATGAACATGGGGTTTTTCCCCATTTGTTTAGATCTTCTTTACTTTCTGTCAACAGTATTTTATAGTTTTCAGTTTTATGCTTCTTTTATTAAACTTATTTCTCCATATTTTATTCATTTAATGTTATTATAAATGAATTGTTTTCTTAACTTCATTTTCAGATTGTTTAATCTGAAACACAATTGGTATTTGCATATTGATCTTGTATCCTGCAACCTTGCTAAACTCGTTTAGTAGTTGCAATAATGTTTTAATGGATTCTTTAGGATTTTCTACATACAAGAGATAGTTTTATTTCTTCCTTCCCATCTAGGTGCTTTTTCTTTCTTTTTCTTACCTAATTGGGTTGGCTGGAACTTCCAGTAAAATGTTGAATAGAAGTGGTGAGAATAAGCATCCTTGTCTTTTTCTTGATCTTAGGAAGAAAAGCATCTAGTCTTCCACCATTAACAATGATGTTGGCTATAGGGTTTTTGTAGATGCCATTTCTCCAGTTGAGGAAGTTCCCTTCTATTCCTAGTATGTTGAGTGTTTTTATCAGGAAAGGACAATGGATTTTGTCAAATCTATTGAGATCATTGTACTATCTTTGTTTTTTTATTCTATTTATATGGTATATTACATTAACTGATTTTTAACTGTTAAAACAGTCTTGCTTTCCTGCGATAAATCCTACTTGGTCACGGTGTATAAGTTATACTATATGTTATAGGATTTGATTTGCTAGCATTTTGTTGAGGATTTTTGTATCCATATTCATAAGAGATATTATTCTATAATTTTCTATTCTTGGAATGTCTTTGTCTGGATTTGGTACCAGGTTAATAGTGGCCTTATAGAATGAGTTGGGAAGTATTCCTTCCTTGTATTAGTTTGCTTGGTCGCCACAACAGAATACCACAGTCTAGTTGATTTAACAATAGCATTTATTTTCTCAGAGTTCTAGAGGCTAGACGAGTGAGATCAACGTGCTGTCAGGGGTGGTTTCTGTTGAGAGCGCTCTTCCTGATTTGTGGACAGCCACTGGCTTGCTGTGTCCTCGCATGGCTTCTTCTCTGTGTATGTATGTTGCTGGGGCAGGGGGCGGGTGGGAGGAGAGGGAGAGGGAGAGAGAGAGAGAGAGAGAGCTAGTGAGCATGTGTTGTCAAATTAAGGTCCTACCCTTAAGACCTCACTTAACCTTTACTACCTTCTTGTATGTAGTCACTTTGGGAGTTAGGACTTCAACATATGAATTTTAGAGGACACACTTCAGTCCATAACATTCCTCTTCTATCTTTTGGAAGAGTTTATAAAGAATTGGTTTTAATTTTTCTTTAAATGCTTGGTAGGATCCACTCATGAAACCATCTGGGCCTGGGATTTCTTTGTGAGTAGTTTTGATTACTGATTCATTCTGTCTACTTGTTACAGGTTTACTCAGATTGTCTATTTTTTTTATTTTTGAGTCAGTTTTGGTAATTTGTCCATTTCTTCTGTCTACATTCTTCTTCTATCTAATGTATTGGCATATGATTGTCCATAGTATTCCTTAATGATCCATTTTATTTCTGTAAGATTGGTAGTTACGTCATCTCTTTCATTTCTGTTTCTGATCATTTGAATCTTCTTTTTTCCTTGCCCAGTCTAGCTAAAGTTTTTCAATTTTGTTATTGTTTCGAAGAGCCAGCTTTGGATGCATTGATTTTCTCTGTTGTTTTTTTAGTCTTTACTTATTTCTGCTTTAATCTTCATTTCTTTCCTTCTGCTTAGTTAGGTATAGTTTGCTCTTTTTTTCCCTAGCATCTTATCATGAAAGATTAGGTTATTAATTTGAGATCTTTCTTCTTTTTAATGTAATTATTTACAGCTACAAATTTTGCTTTAAGCACTGCTTTAACGACATCCCATATGCAATGACTTTTATTTCCAGACAAGATCCATATATTTTCCAACATATAAGAATTGCTAGTTCCCCTAATAAAATCAAGTCTTAATCTTTCATTATCTGCATTATGGGAGGAATCCATAATGAAGAAAACATCTGGGTCTTGTGGCCTCAAATGTGTTACCCCATTGCCAACCTTGGAGGATCCACTGGTTTTTGTTACTCTAACAATTTTCTTTGTGCATGTCAAGATCTGTTTTGACCATATGTGGTATAAAGATGATTGCTGATGGGACCAGGCACATGTGATCTTGTCTGGGACTGGAGGGACTAAAGACAAGGAATTCCTAGAATATTTTTCTTTTTCTTTCTATTCCCATAATCCTCCTGAACTTTCTCCTTAAAAATAAAACAAAACACCCCACACCATTTGGCCATAGGTATAGGTCACAGAGTTCAACAGGGAGTTCAAGCTTTAAAAGTATAGAAAATTGTGATTTACTTGAGTAAAGGGGAGCTGATGATGAGGTTGGCTGACTCTTCAGCAGCTTTACTCCCGCTGCACTTTTGATTGGCTCTTTATCTCTCAAATGCTGGTTATGGGGAGGACCGTGGGGCCAATCAGATCAGCATTTGTGTCCCCAGCTTGTTAGCTTTGGAGGAAGGACAGTACCCTTCTGTGTATTGAGACTAAAATTAGGGGGGTGGAGGGGGAAGCACCATTGCCCCTATGTCACCACCCAGGCCAAAGTGGTTCTCTTAACTCAAGGGCATTGTAACTCTTGGTTGATTTCTCCAAAGCATCCTGGGCCAAGTGAGGCTAGCGGTGTTAGTGGGCAAGAGAAAAGAGCGCAGGGAGATTCAGACAAGCTAGTAGCGACTGCTGGAGAGGCAACACCATGGAAGGAGAAACACCTTTGAATTTTACTTCCAAATCACCAATAACCAAATTAATCCCTTTTTCTTCTGAACACAGAAGGGGCACATCTCCCATCCCTTCTTTGTGATATGCTTTGTTGGTGAGACAAGTGTCTCAATCTGCTGAGAGTGAACTATTTGGGATTATGATATGGGGTGCATTCCTCCTCATCTCTCGTTCCCACAGGTAGTGGCACCCATGCCACTGAGGAAATGTTTGCCAAGATTGTCAGGTAGCCCCTGGACTTGCTTTCTGATCTCTGCTTCTCTGTCCTGCCTTCTTGCTTAGCAAAAACAGTCACCACTGAGGAGTGCCTGGCGAACCCTGTGGGCATGAACCGCTACAGCATGGACCCCTCCGCCTCCACCTTTAGCCACAGGGGCTCCTTGCCCACCTCTTCCTCGCTGTACTGCAAGAGACAGAACTCTGGAGATGGCCACCTTGGGGGAGTATTGGCCACCACTGCCAGTGGTCCCCGTTCCAGCCCCATGTCCTCTGGAGGCCCCTTGACACCTGGGCTGAGGCCCCCAGGCTCCAGCCCCAAGAGAAACGGGACCCCTCTTGAAGGAAACAGATGTGGTAACGTAATGCATGCTCTGGCTTCCCCATGACTTAACCTCCTCTGCCCTTGCTCTGGGATAACTGCATGTAGGGGGAAGGGGGTGGCTTCAGGGGGAACAATGATTTCTGAATATGGAACACTGGGAAATTGGAAGCCCTTTCAAGAATTTTTGTTGTTCTTAAAGGCAGCTAACTTCAACTTTTGACCATAAGTAAAGAAAATAGTATATAAGAACAGGCTAGGCTGTAGGACTAAGTAGATTCCAAAATGTACAGTGGCTCAAATGCAATAGAAATTTATTTTATTTTTTTGTTCAAGAGTCCAAGGTGGGTGTTCTTAGGTGGTGGATGCATCTCAAATCAGGGACTCAGACTTTGTCCATTTTGTGGTCCTGCTATCCCCTATGGCCTCCATGTCCCAAACACCTACTGGGTAGAAAGGGAAAGAGTGAGTGAGGAAGTCACATACTCTTCCCTAGAGCTTGAGAATGATGCACGTCATTTCCACTCACATTTCATTGGCAAGAGCTGGCCATTATGCCACACTTAACTCTAAGGGAATCTGAGAGATGTAGATCATCTCTGTGCCAGGAAAAAGAAGAACCAGATGTCAATAAAGCATCTTTTCTTGCATAGTGGGTGACATTTGTAGGACACAAATACATGGGCAGAACCAGAGTTAAACAACATTTCCTTAATGCTGGTTATACTACCTTGTAATACCTTGTTGGGATGCAATGCATGAAAGTGCTCTCATTCTAGGGACAGCTTTGTGTCTATTGTGAATTGTTTTGTTTTTTTAAATCATTTTCAAGCTTCAGTATTTCATTAATGAACAAAGGCTGTAAAGCATAGTGGATAATCCATGGAATATGGAGCCAGATGCACTGGGCTAGAATCATGGACCTACCACTTCCTGACTGTATGACCTTTTGCAAGTCTGGGTTTCTCGGTGCCTCAGTTTCCTCACCTGTAAAATTAGAATGATAACAACAGCATCTATCTCATAGGTTTGTTGGGAGGATTAAATAAGTTCACACGTGTATTTAGTGTCAGACCGAGGACATGGTAAAAGCTCGATAAAGATTAGCTGTCACAGATCACGTGAACACATCTCTCACCCAATCACAGCCCAGCAGCTCTGCACCTGAAAGCTGCTGAGGAGAGGAGGCCCCAGGCTGAGGAGTTGGGGAGTCTTCATCTTGCCCCTCTGCAGCCTCCCAATGGGTTGGCCGTCTTCTTTGACAAGTCACATTTTTGTTTGGAGCCTTGGATCTCTCTACCAGTAGCCCTGAGAAGCCACAGTGATGAGCTAGTTTGTATGATCCAACATCCTCCATGTGTTCCCCTCAAAGACCTCCCCCATCTCACACAAGGCTTTCCTGGCTGAGGATAGATAGAAAGGCAGGCAGGAATGCCTTGCGCAGAAGGCAGTTCTGAGGAGCAGAGTACAGAATCCCTCAGCCACGGGGGCTCTTGCCAAATGTAGAGGCACCCTGCAGACTACTTCCCAACATTGTCACATAAGCCATCAGCCATGCAGAAGATTTGAGTGGGCAGAGCCCATTTTCCAAAGGGAAGAGACATTGTTCTACCTGATTTTTAAGAACAAGAGAAGAGAACAAGATTTGGCACAAATCAACATCTTAAAGTAAATGAGGGGCAGTGTTTATTTCCTAGGCTTATCCCCAGAGTTTTTGTAGCACCTGACATGTAGTAGTTCAATAAACATTCATTATCTCTGTGTCCCCTACCATGATGCCAGTGTCCTCATGTTGCCCCTGGTTGTCAAAACACTCCTCTTGGTGCCCCTCTGCCTTTTAGCTGTCTCTTCCTGTCAACCTCTTCTCCTCAACCCAGTTCCCATTTGCTCAGGGTGATCGCAGGTCATCGCCTGATTGAGTTGACTCATAATTCTAAGAGTGTTGCCATTTTTTAAAAAGGAGATATTTACCCTGTCTTCTGGTCAAGTTGGTGGAGTATCAGGCCCGATGTCGTAAGTGTAGGATTTAAGCAATAAAAGGATGAAAAGAACTTCTATCACTACCTGAAGAATTGTCTGCTCCATCCCAGTCTATCTGGTACCCCTGGATGAGGGGAATCTTAGATCCTTCAAAGTGATCTCAAGGTAGCTTCCCTCCCCTGCTGGGATGCCCTCCTATCTATCACTCCCTCAACAACTCTCTTGTCCTTCATTGTCGCCTCCTCCCCAGCCCTTTGTTCTCCAGTTAGCTGTCTGAGGGGGTCTGCCTGAGGGGTGGCCCAGACCCTCCCTGGGAACCAACTCTGAGAGAACCCTCTCTGTTAGAGCTCTGGTTAACCCCCCAGGAGATCCCCCCTCACTCAGGGCTTTGCCTCTTAGGATCTTGGGTAAAATCAGAGAGATGGAGCCCACCAGTGCCTGTTACCTTCCGCTCCAAGCAAAACACTAACTGTACCCTGAATACCCTCTTTCACCACTTAGAAATAGTAGTGAGAACTTTGATGCCCTGCAAATCAGAGTTGTCCATAATTAGCTGGACGCTTTGGGGCTTTGGGATGTTCAAAAATCACACACTCACCCACCTAGCTTCCTCATTTTAGCTGCAAAATGTAATGGTAGAAGTTCATTATTGAGCCTCTTTAGTATACTGAAGAAAAAAGAAAATTATTCACCCTTTGTAGGCACATTAACTCGAATGCTCCAAAGATTCCTTTAACCAGTGTGCTAAATGGAAACATAGATACCAGAAAGCCAGCCAGCTGTGTCCACTCTAGCATCAAGATGTAGGAGGGCAGTGCCAGCATCTCTGAGAGAGGTTTCCACTGCTGCTTCCATCTCATTGGCCAGAACTTAGTCACATGGCTACCAACTGCAAGGGAAACTGGGAAATATGATTTTGTTCTAAGAAACCACGATCCCTGCTGGAAATCAGGGTTTCCGTTATAAAGGAAAAAGTGCAAAAAGAGATATTGAGTAGGTGACCGAGAGTCTCAGCCACACCTCCCAATTAGAAATGTTTGTTCCTTCCGATTCCTTCTGTAGCACTTTGTTCTCTCATCTCTAGGACTTTCTCTTCCCTGTCCCACAGTAGGAACCAGACCCTCAGCTTTGTGAGGTCCCTTGCTCATATCCAAATCCTCCATAGCCCCAGAATAGGAGCCTGCTTGCTTGAGGCACATACTAAATAACTATTTATTGAGCACCTACCAAGAGCCAGACACTTTCCATACATTATTTATGATTTCTTGCAAGTTGTATTTTATGATTTATTATAATATGTACATATTATTATAGTAGGTATTATATACAAGGTACAGATAAAGAAAGTGAAGATCAAGATAAGGTCATTCAAGTGTCGAGTCAGGATTTCACTTTAACTGGCTCCAAAGCCTGTGTCTTTCAAAATTACCCCAGGGATTTCCAGACTTTCAGTAGGCTTCAGGGGGTCCCTTCGAAGCTCTAGGGGATAGGGGAGAGGGGATGGGAGCAGACAGGACTCCCAACACCCTGCCCTCTTTAACCAGGGCCTCTTCACATTTGCAGAGCGGGGTTCTATGTACGCTTTGCTCAAACAAAGTCCGTGCAGCTAAACATACCTGGAACCCATGGAGATAAGCTGTGCTGAATCGAATGGCAGTATATTAAAGTAGGAGAGGAAACCATTGGCCTCCTTACCCATTTGTCACTTAACTGCCAGTCTGGGTGCTTGCTGTGGGCACTCTGGAGGGTTATGAAGTTTGCCCTCCACCCTGGGAATTGCTCAGGATTGCTCTGGAATTGCTTCCCAAGTGTAAGTACTTGGTTTGAAGAAGCCATACCTCTTTAGGAGGGTTTGACCTAAGTCATAAACCCTGGAGGGGACCTAAAAAAGGATTTTCCCCTGTGGTGCTAATCAAAATGGTTTAAAATCACAGAATCCAGAGAACTGCATGAGGCTGCAGGCAGGAGGGTAGATATGGATGACATGACAAATTTCTCAGCCTTCTCTCGTGAGTATTCCCCCTGCCCCCTGCTGTCTTGATAGATCATACCTATAGCCCCTGCCAGTGGATTCTGAGGGGATGTATTCACAGGACCCATTTCCTTGGTTTTTGCTGATACTCGGGTAAAAATTTGAGAGCTCTTCGCCATCCAACATATAAACATCTTCTCCCACCCAACATGCAAGCATCAAGAGCTATAAAGTTTTCAGATAACAAAAGCTTCCTAACTTTTGCATTAAATAGGACATGCTGTAGAAGTCCCAACCACAATTAGGTCCAAGTTTCAGAATCAAGAAAGAACGAAAATAAAGAAGAAAGTAAAGCTTCCATAGGGTAAGGTGTTGGGTGATGGACAGAGAGACCGTCCAATCAGAAAATGAGAATAGGGACAGCGCTCTATGTGGAGGGGTTGACGTGAGCAAAAGTGTGGCAAGGGCTTATTCATTCCAGGGAAAGAAGAGAGTTTGAGCAGAGATGCTGAGGGAAATCACCCTGGGAGATTTGGGGTCCACTTCGAGCAGACTGAGCTTTCATCTGTGGGAACCAGACATTTCTGAACAGGGAGGTAAGCTGATGACCATGGACTTTAGCAAGACAAACCTACTGGCCATTATGGAATGACACATCATAACAATAGGAAGCATAGCAACTACCTTTTGATTAATTCTTACTGGTTAATGCTTCACATCATCCCATTTAATCCTCTCAACATGGTAGGTGTTTGACAGGCAAGGCAACTAAGTCTCAGACAGCTTTTGCTCCACCTCAGCCAGCAGATACTTACTGAGCACACTATGCCAGGGGCTCGTCCCAGGTCTAAGGATGGAGCTGTGAGCAAGACACATGTGGGCCCTGCTCTCTGACAGTGTGCAATTCCACAGAGGCAGACGTTAACAATATTGCACAAACTTCATTACAACAGTGACTATCCCTCCAAGGAAAAATATGATGCTATGGGAGGATCAGCTAGGGAGGAGTCACTGAGCCTGCTCCAGGGAGATGGGAAAAGCTTCCCGGAGAAGTGACAGTGGAGCCAGCTGGACAGGGAAGCAGGAGCTGGCTAGGGAAGGACCGTGGGGAGGAGTGGCTGGAAGCTTCCTGGCAGCGGTCAGATTGCTTGCCCAGAGGTCACATGTCTGTGGTGGTAGAGAAGGATCCAGCCCAGTGTGGCCTCATTTTCGGCCTTTCGTCTCTCCTGTCTCTCGGGGCATCCTCTCTTCTCATGCAGCATGTCAACTGGTCTTGAAAGAATAAAAGAAAAATCTGATTAAAATTTGAGGATTGGTCAGGTGCTCTTCTGTCTCCTATCTCTCTCACCTCATACAGTCTTGAAAATTCTTACCACAGAAATAATGAAACACAACACTGTTTTAAACTACCTGATGCTACCCAGATTGTGGGCTAGGCTGGGCACCTCCCGCACTCCTCATGGCCTTGTTTCCAGGAAGGGTGCCTTCTACAGGGACCAGGTCACTGGGAGGAGCTGAGAACAGATCTACCCTTCCCTGGCCTTCACCCCCATCCCCTCCAACCCAGATCCAGCGCTAGAGATGCCGAGAGGGCCCAGGGGACTCAGAGAAACCTGAGGAAGGACACTGAGGGGTCCCTTTTGGACACCGATGGGCTTCCCTTCAAGATGTTCTTTGTCAGGCTCCAGCCCAGAGCCACATACTTGATTCTTACGATACTCTTGAGCAGCAAGATGAAGAAACTAAAGCCCACGGAGAATGATTTGGGCCAGGAAGGGCTACAAGCTTGGCCATTGGTACTCTATTCAGTGTGCATTGCTCATGGACACACTGATAAGACTTTCTGATACACAACAAGGTGACTCCCCGGGTGTTGTGCGGGACAAACCACAACCAAATCAGTGGCAGAGGAACCTTAGAGATTCTTCCCAACTCCCTTATTTCACACCTGAGAAGTACAAAGACACTCACACAGCTGGTGGGTGGTAGGGATTTTGACTCCCGGCTCATTGCTCCTTCCGTTCCTCCATATGACTCTATTGTTAGCTCAAAAGTTTTCTTTGAATTATGAATGAGCAAAAGGAAATTATGCATGTGGTTGTGGGCAGGTATGAGACACAGAGATTCAAAGACAGCCGTGCAAGTCCCTGTGCCGTGAAAATGCCCGGGCTTGCTTTAAACACTGATTCGTAGGCATTTATTCCTGGTGCACTCGAGATCGGCTTTAGAAACAACCCCCACCTCCTTCACCTACACATCCATTCACAACTGGGTTTCACTCTTCAACGAATCCGGTAGCTCTAGTGAAGGGACATGACATACACAAAGTTCTCTGACATGGAGAATCCTGCCTTCCCATAAAGGCGTTTGGCGAGCACTTTGCATGCCCTGGTCCCTTAGAACAAGATTCTTTTCACATCCATCATGTCTTCCTGCTGTCCAATCACATCCGCCTGGCCTGGCTGTGTCAGGCCGGACCCATCTGTCTTCCTGACACATTCACAGCCACTGGAGGGGGGTTAGCGTATTTATCTTTGTGAGCACAGACCACTGCAAAGGCTTTACAAACCTGCCACTGGAAAGTTCCATTTCTCTTCCTTCTAGAGCGAGTTTATGTGCTTTGGATCTTGAGCAATTTCCAAGGTGTGGCAGGCTTCCTGCTGCTCTCTGTCTTGTATGACTAAGAGACCCCCTCAGAGAGGCTCCCAAGCCAGGCCCGGCTGGTGCCATTTCATCCTGGAAAGGTGAAAAATGCCCACAGCAAGCACCGGGGCCACTCTCCAACTGGGCCGCCTCCCTCCACAGCCATCACCTGGAGAGCCTCCTCAGTCAAGATGATCCCGCCCCTCTTGCTCACCCCCTGGCTGTGACCACTAGGAAAGTTGTGCCCTGACCTTGCTCAAGGAGCTTGGGCTCCCAGGGATGATGCTGTGAATTGGTCTGGTATTCTTCTTTCCTGTCAGATACAGGAAACTTGATTTGACCTCTGCTCTGTTGACTCTAAAATCATTCTTGGCACCAAAGGCTTGCAGCCTTTGTAATCAGAGCAACTTTTATCACCCTGATTACCACCGCAGCACCGATGGGGCAGGATCGAGGGCGAATATGATTTCTGTGATTCCTTGTCCCCATGTTGAATGCAGATGTCTTTAAATGCAGTGAAATCATCTCGAACAAGCATGCATCCGCATTCAGACGGCTCCGGGGTGCACTAACAGTTTCCCGGCAAAATGCCCTGTGCCAACCCACGTTCGGGGACCCTCCCAGGTCCGGCAAGGAAAAGGCAGGGAAAATCTCAAAGCAAATCCAGTTCTCAACTGAACCATTATGGTTTTAGGGCACACTCGGAAATGTGATGTTGTACTTTGCTCAGCACTAATGGAGAGCTGTGCGCTTTTCGAGCATGTTAAAAAGAGGAGCCGGAAAGAGAGAGCAGAGAACCACTGCGCCCCGAGACTGAAAGGGGGAAGTGGAAGTGAAGGCTTCTGGACTTTTCACGTAGAATTATTCTGTAGGGAGGCTGCTTCATTGTTCAGAGCCTCCACTTTCTTTGGGCCTGAAAATAGGATTAAGGATTACCTGCTCAAGTCCTTTATGTGAGTTATCTATTCATTTTACACCTCCTGAGCCCATATTTACAAACACATTTACTTAGAATTGTGGAGGAGTCAATGATTATAAACCCCGTAATGAGAGGATCCTGTTTTTCACCAGACACTTTGCCCAGGACCTGGTACAGAAGAGATGCTCAGTAGATGTTTGTGGAATGAATGGGATGGGATGGGGGGAGATGAAAATGATTGTCCTCAAGAAATGTAAATCTAACTGGAGGTTATAGACACGCGTAACTGCAGTATAAGGTGGAATGTGGAAAGCGTCTTGAGAACAAAGATGTGGGGGTTAAAGGCAGAGGAATGTGATGTCCAGATGGCAGGACACAGAAATGCTGCCTATGAAGGGGTCTGCCTGGGTTTTGACGGCTGGTGGAGCTTCTGTGGAAAGGAGGGAGGGTATGTGCTTCTGGAGAAAAGCCAAAAGCCCTGGCTAAAGATGGAGAAGGGAAGCTAGGGAGACATTCTGTCAGTGTGCCCGGATGGGAGTGCGCAGGAGGGCAGTGGAGGCAGGCAGGGTGTCTCCCCTCTGTGGAGTGCCTGATGCATGGTAGCCCTAGGGCTTAGGCCTAATCCCATTTCAGTCTGACACTTGCCCTTCCTAAAGGACAGTGTTGCCATTTTACAGCTAATGAGCTGAGTCATGGTCAAATTGGTAGCAGTGGGTGGCTCCAGGGTTTGTTCCTAGGTCTCTCTGGCACAAAAGCGCTTCCCCTCAGTCTCAGAAGGAAAGATGTTATTATAAGAGAGTCCTTGACCTTGAGCTACAGTATGGACTCTGGAGTCAGTACATAGGCAAGGGGCACAGACAGGGTTGGGTCTACAGAAAGCATTGAGGCAGTAGACAGTTTTGCCCAGAAGGAAGAGAGCCCAGGGCAAGGATACCCATGGAACCCATCGCAGGGGTTTGGGTAAGAGGATCTCCGATAGGGGCAGCAGGGTGGGAGGGAGGATCCAGTGTGAGAGGCATCTTCCTAAGAGCTTAAGAATAATTAAAGGTGGGGAGCAAATAAGGGGCAGTAGAAGGAGAGGTAGAAGTAGGACATCACCGTGGTTTCAGAAACCTGACGGATAGGAGGAGAACCTGGTGCTGGAGAAAGAGAAGGAGTTAGTTTGGGACATATGAAAAAAGTCAACCTCTAGATATGGCCAGGCATTCGATTCGTTCCTTTTTTCCTCCTTTACTTGTCTTGTACCTTTTACTCTGCCATGTGGAGGATGCATTTAAGGAATGGTGCAGGTCGTGCAATAATCACGTATCAAGGACCAGCTCGGGACCAGGCACAGGATTAGACCCTTTGCTGTCAAGGAACTCTCATGCTAGTAGGGGAGACTGGGGCAAGTCCTCTGAAGAGCAGGGGGCCATGGAGGCACTCTGTGCCTGGGGCAGTGAGAGGATGTCTCCTTTCTGCACATGCAGAGAAGAGGCGCCTCTCACAGCGGGATTCCCGGCACTGGCAGCAGAGACCCAGAACGAGGACCAAAATGCACCTCGGTTCTCCTATGTCTTTATGTCTCGGTGTAACCAGGGGAGGCAGAAAGGATCTGAATTCTTTCTGGCCTCCTAGCACTGTAGGGGCCAGTTTGGACGTTCAGCTTATCAAGGCTTCTCTGGTCACCCGGCTAAGGAGGTCCAGGGCTCACTGAGACAGAACTGAGCAGGAGGGTTTTTTTAAAACTAACATGGACCAGAAGCACAGCCGGTTGAAGGAGATCCATTTTCTAACGCTTTACTCCGTGGGAGAGCGGAGGTCGTTTGCAGGGATGGGAGGGTCTGCCTCCAGAAGTGGCCTCCCCGTGCTGCAGGCTGTCTCTCCCAGCCTTTCTCTGTCACAGGAGGTCACTCAGGCCACAGCCTTGGACTAAGGGCCAGGTGGGGGCAGGCAGCACCAGGTAGGCACTGAGGCCATCATCCCGGTGTCTAATGTCCTCCTTGTGTGTGCTCACCCGTCCAGCCTCAAGCCCTTCCCCAGACGGACAGGATGCCAGGCGGCCCCGGAGCAGGAACCCCTCCACCTGGACTGTGGAGGATGTGGTCTGGTTCGTGAAAGACGCTGACCCGCAGGCTCTGGGGCCTCACGTGGAACTCTTCAGAAAGCACGTGAGTACTTGCACGC